TGTGGAGAATAAGACAAAAATTAATCTTTATCAACAAGATTCATTTGATAGCTAACACTGGACTAACACTAAGGTTTCTTCAGAGTTGCTGAATCTTGAGCAGATTTCACACATTTGTAGACATGTTTTGTATCATTGAAATCGCATCAGATCACGAACTGCTTGTCTCTGTCTTCAACTTTATCTTCGATATCACTGAAGGTTCTTATGATGTGAGTTTCTTCTTGAAGAATACTTGTCTCTTGAGAGATACAATACTTGTTCAACGATCACTGAAGCTGAATAAAGAGAAAGTACTTATAGAGATAAAAAGGATCATCATCAAATCACTGAGAGAGAGGATCAATATAAATAGTTGTTGGTCCGCATGCTGGCAATAGGGTGTTTTTGTTGAAAAGTCCTCTATGTTCATCCGAAGATGACATGCTCCCATTTAAACTAAAACGAAAGCAGTTTCCAGATCGCTTGAGCTTCTTCTATGACAATAACTAAAGCTTAGGGATAAATTATTCCAAGCGTAGGTGTTCATCTACCAAAACTGGTATTTTACATGACCAACTTTATGTAGCATCATTTAGAGGCATATCACGAGGAACTACAATTGGTTAAACCTGCCAAAAAATTCAATCGTGCGGAGTCTATACATCAAATATCATCAATCAACATTTGATTATAAAACATTTGTTACATTATGTGTTTTTTGTATACATGTTTACTTATAGTCATTATATATTTTTTGCAAGAGATCTGTTCATATTGACGGTTTGAGCAATATATCTCGAAGTATTTCTTGTACAAGATTTTACTTTCCAATTTATTCGAACATTAATTTTAGATTTTATTTTTAAAATTACAAGTTGCAACAAAATAAAGACTAATGTTTAACTCGGTGAGGATGTAATAAAATGATATCCATTAATATATGAGAATCATAAAATCTAATATTAGTCATTAATTTGATATAATCAATTTATAATTTAATTTATTTTATTTTATGTCAGACTTGAATTTATATATACTATATTATAAAGTATTTAGGTTAGAAACATTTTCAAAAATCAAATATTGTTTAATAATGCATATTACATAAAAAATAATAAAATTAACATCATTAACGATGCAAAATAGAAAAAGGGGAGGCTAATTGCACCCTTAACCCTAGGCAATAATTTGGTTATGTTCTTTTTGTTTTTGTCTTTTTATTGTCTTTTTCTTTTGTTATTTTTGTTATTTAGATATTTGTATTAGATTTTAATTAATATAAATTGTTAATTAATTCCTTTTTTCCTCTTTTTCTCATTTTCTCTTTTTCTTTT